CTAAAAGAAGAACACCAAAACTTCTGTAGCGTTCTTGAATAAGAGTGGATTCCGTGTTCGCTGCCTGGTAAGTTAAGTGAAATCGTAATCCTTTACCCGTGTCCTAAGAGCTAGTGTGCGGCGATGAATTCCAAGTCCACAGGTTCGAGTTTAAGACTAGGTTTACACTAGAGGAGAGTTCTCCGGATTCGTAGATGTTTCCGGATTCATCAATTTTGGAGTATTCGGATTCGTAGGCGTTTACACTAAAAGGATATTCGGATTCCTGACCGTTTACACACAACGACAACTCCGGGAACATTCAAGATGGAATGGTTACCAAGCCCAGTGTTGTTTCGTCGTTCGATTGGCAAAGTGAAAATGCTTCCTCTAAAAAGGCTAGAGTAGATCCAGATGCCACCGAGGCAAATTTGAGCTGGACAGATGCCAGCCATCTACGTCGTCGGCGATTAAGTGTGGCTGACGTTAAACTCGGCCTTGCAATAATAATTTGCGTTTCCTCAGAAATACTGCGGTACACATGATAAAATGTATCGCCTGAACCTGCAACAAGATTAGGCAACCGGAGGCCGCAAGCAATGTTAGCACCAGATCTTCCATTTTGGTTTCACCGCACACTCAAAAGATTGCAGGCGGAATAAATATCCGGATTCGAGAAAAAAAGCGGTTACACGACAAAACTTTCCGGATTCAAAAGTTATCGGTTTCAAAGTTCCCACTTTAAATTCCAGATTCAAAATCTCCGGAGACACGTCCAATCCCGGGAGTTTTTATTTCGGATTCGTCCACTTTCGTGTAAACGGCAAAATCAATCCGGTACTAAAACGTTTCGGATTCATCACGAATCCGGAACAATTTCCTCTAGTGTAAACCTAGTCTGAGTCACCATAAAGTATATGAAGAAAGAATTTCCCATGAAAAAACTGCCTGCTATGAATGATAAGATTACTTTCCATGTATTTGTATTTACAATGTTATTCTCTCGGATGACAGTCCATATGGAAGTCTTTCGGCGAGTCAACAATGCAGAAATGAAAAATTAAACTTTGCGGCACAAATCTGTTTTCTTATTACTGATGTTAACTTTAATTTTTTTGTTTTGTTTTTCTCTTCGGCCTTTTGTTTTAGAAAAGATATTAGCCGTGTTACTCATTAAAACGATACAGTTCGATTAGTTGTTCTTTGAGAATGAGTGCGATTTAAGTGGAAAAATAAGAACGATAAGTAACTGCTTGCGCTCAATATACGTTACAAACCATGAAATATGTGAAAATCGCTATCCTACCTTGTGAGAAAAATAGAGAGGTTCATGGAAACGAGTTTGAATCTGCCTCCTGCTTTTATCTGTTTGTCTGTGTCTGGATACCCCCACGAAGTACTCGCCCTCGTTTTTGATATATCACGTAACGAAGGCGACTGAACCTTTGCCCTCGACCATAAATTCATTAAAGTTCCGAAAACAATTGGCATGTCAGGTGAGGACTTGTTCTCTTTAAGCTTCGTTGGCTCCGCACGTGTACAATAGGGACCTTTAGCGACTCGTATTCGAGACGACGGCGACGTCCACGACCGATTAAGACTGGGGTGGAATTTGAGTTTTTCCCGCCGAAATAAGAAAACCTTTAGCTTTTGCGACGGCAATGTCGTCACTTCTCACTTGCAAAGGCTTGAAGATGAATTCATTTACTAACATTAGGGAATTGCTCTTACTTAGCTATGTTAACAACGTCGTTTCTGATAGAGAGTTTGTCCTTCTTTACAACGCTTATCAGTCCAAAAATCCCGACTTTACTTACCAGCAATATGACCCGTTCAATCTCGATGACACCGATTCAGCCGAATGTAAAGCAGAGTTCCGCAATGAAAAAGCTGACCTTCCTCGCTTTGCTGAAGCACTGCAATTGCCTCCCACTTTCCACTGTCAACAAAGGACTGTGTTCGATAGCATGGAAGGACTGTGTATGCTTTTGAAAAGAGTATCCTACCCATGTAGGTACAGTGACACATGATTCCTCGATTTGGGAGACCGGTATCTCTTTTAAGCCTCATAACAAATCACACCTTAGACTACATTTACGAAAACCACGGTCACCTAATAACACAATGGAATAGAAATATCTTAAATCCTCGTGCCCTACAGATCTATGCTGATTCCATCTCAAGGAAAGGCGCTCCGCTCAAAAATTGTTTCGGATTCGTCGATGGAACAGTCAGGCCGATCTCCAGACCAGGACAAGCTCAGAGAGTTGTTTACAATGGACATAAAAGGGTTCATACCCTTAAATTCCAATCACTGGCGTTGCCTAATGGATTGATTGGAAATATTTTCGGGCCAGTAGGTAAGTATGAATGAAAACAAATTTTCTTAGTCGATTAATGGTCGCAATCAGACTTAATTTTGTTCTCTTGCTGTCTATAAGGAGGATAGCTGAGTGAGGCAAAAATATTTTTTTGTTTTGCGATCAGACAATTGATGCAGTACTTTTTTTCAAGCACGATGCAGGCATGTTGGCTGAATCGGGACTTCTTAATAATCTCCAGAGATTTGCAATTTCTCCCACTGGCCAACCAATGTGCATTTATGGAGCCCCAGCGTACCCTCTAAGGGTACACCTCCAAGCTCCATTTCGTCAAGGTCGTCTTACTCCGCATGATATGAAAGCCTCACTCATCTGCTGCTGTTGTCACGTCATGGCTTGAATCGTTTCCTGCTGTTCTTCCTGTTCTTTTCTTTTTATGTCCAACTCTTGCTGGCGAAGTTCCCACTCGGCGTTAGCATTTTCGCGCAAGACATCAACTAGCTGCTGTGCACATCTCTTGAGGCCTGAGGTTGTTGGCTGATCCTCATCAGCCGTTCCTCTCGATAATTTTCGCAAAACCCAGCGCTCTCTAACACCTCTTTTGTCTTTGATGCGTGGCTGTGGTGCATCTATTTCATTGAGCTTTTCAGCTATAGAATCCCACGCATCTCCCCGGCTTAAGCTTCCTTTCTTCAAGGAGAATACACCACTGACAACCATTTTCCTGAGCATCAACACGTCGTGTTCATCGGTCCGCTCCATAGGCGCTCTACATAAAGTATAAAACACAATATAGAAAACAACACGTATTTGAGCATTCCGCCGAGCTTCCGGCCGTCCTTGCAAGGCCAAGACTTCAGTAAATGAAAGTAAACTTCTCTGTAAGCTGCATTTGACTTCACTTTCTTTACTCACTTACCCACTTAAAGTGAAGTTCGAATTGTGTAAAATTCCTCCTGATACTCATCGGTACTCACATGGCTACTCGAAGCCACNGGCCTGAGGTTGTTGGCTGATCCTCATCAGCCGTTCCTCTCGATAATTTTCGCAAAACCCAGCGCTCTCTAACACCTCTTTTGTCTTTGATGCGTGGCTGTGGTGCATCTATTTCATTGAGCTTTTCAGCTATAGAATCCCACGCATCTCCCCGGCTTAAGCTTCCTTTCTTCAAGGAGAATACACCACTGACAACCATTTTCCTGAGCATCAACACGTCGTGTTCATCGGTCCGCTCCATAGGCGCTCTACATAAAGTATAAAACACAATATAGAAAACAACACGTATTTGAGCATTCCGCCGAGCTTCCGGCCGTCCTTGCAAGGCCAAGACTTCAGTAAATGAAAGTAAACTTCTCTGTAAGCTGCATTTGACTTCACTTTCTTTACTCACTTACCCACTTAAAGTGAAGTTCGAATTGTGTAAAATTCCTCCTGATACTCATCGGTACTCACATGGCTACTCGAAGCCACACTTATTACTTAGAGGGTTAGCTATCTCCGTAAAACAAGATTTATCTAGGTACATTTTACTAGATTTTACCTTGACTAACCCGTTCAATGAACTCACTTTGATGCGAGCTGTTTGTTGTCTTTGTTTGCGTTTGCAGCCATGCCTCAGATTAAGACGAATATTTGAACAATATTAAGCCGAAAACCCAGGTTAAATTTTAACTATATATTGCCTAGTTCGTTTTGAGGCCTTCGGAAACGAAACGAGAAAGAAATGGTAAATATTCAAAGCATGAAAGCAAAAAGTTTGCCCATGTTTTGTGGACAACGGGAACTCTCTGTTCTCACGTCCACGCGAAGAGAGAACGGCTTCCCGCCGAAATGTAAGACGTCTACCGGAAATAAGTTTGACTTCCGGTCGCAGTCGCCGTCGCAAAAATCTGCATTGCTAAAGGTCCCTAATTTCATCCACCGCAATTAGACAAGGGTTTTGATGATGTCTCCATGCATCCTTGGATGGCTTCGTTTGGTACACGAAATACCGAGCCTTTGCTCAGCAGTGGATTCTTACAAAATCGTGACTGCTCTAAGGATGCGCTAGGATCTTCAAAAAAGCAAACATTATGAAACGTAGACATTCCTTATCTTCTACATTTCCTAAATTTTTTCACTCGCTTTATTTTCACATATCTGTTTTAGGAGCCACGTAGAGCATACAATAGGTACTTACAACAGTACAAACCTAACCTACAAAATCTACGTGCCAGAAAAAAATATACATCTTGCTAGAATTCAGAACTCGGCTGTTTCAGAACACTTTCAAGAAACAAGGCATGTGCCTGTTTGATACAAGGTTAAGTTTATTTATCACGACCCTCACTGGTACACTCATTAAAGAAGCCATCCAAAGAAGACTTCACTCCAATACGATCAATAGAGGCAGCGTAATCAAAGCTGAAGCCTGGATGACTACGTCAAAAAATTTTAACAATCAACCAGTGGCAAAGGGGGCCTACGAGGGAACAACATAACAACTGTCGGAATCAGTGAGTATTGAGGATCAAAATGCAGCAAAGAGAGCTCTAAAATGCACAAATAAATGCAAACCAAGCTGCTATAAAGGGCGACACGTAGATATTCGATTCCATCGTTCATTTTGAAATATGCGGTTCACTCGATTTTTCCTCTGTTCCAGACTTCAACGTGCTGTTGTTAAATTCGTTTGCTATCATTATCATCATCATCACAAAATTTTATAAAAATCAATTTTATTATACGTGAATCTTTTACATTTTGTCCATTCATTCACCGATAAAATCAGGTCCCCTATCCAATTTTTCCAATTTTCCTTTAAGTGTGTATCCTGATTACAGGCGACTTTGTCTGTGGAGTTTTAAAGTGAGGTCTGCAACGAAATCTATAGGCTTCTACGAAAAATATTGAGTTATGTTCTCTATAACGATCTAAACTTTAACTGAGTAAAAATAAGTTTCCTTCCCTATTTTGCTTTTTTTCCTGTTCAATCTGGGCTTTAACTCAAATTATATTAAATTTACTTTAATATCATAAATTGGCTTAAATTACATGGTCGAAACATTGCGTGATGCTTAAACCAAGGACATTGTGAATTGAAAGTATATTTCCCAAATCATAACGACTCGTAATTCCAAGACGTATTTGTCTGGGTTGATTGAAAAGGAGAAAAGGGGATGGGCATAAGCAATTTGATTTCTACGGAAGTCTTCCCCAGACCTCCTTCCTGCCGTGGGATTGTGTGCATCAGTTTTTATAAAAGCATGACAAAAAACTCTCGTCAAGCCAAACCCGCATCCCGAGCCATGCTATAGAACATTCCTCTTCTTGAAAGCAAGTTTGAGGGTGAGTCAAACTCCGATACTGAACCGTCTTTTAGGACCATAACCCTGTCAAGAAAAGACAAGGATCGTTTCAGCTAAAACATAGGATTTAGTCAGTCTTTACAGCTCTATTGAGAAACACGAAGGTTAGTGCGTTGGACTTCAGATCGAAACATCCGGTTTTGATCCTCGGCTGGATCTCTGAGATGAGTTTTGGGCACTTAAATCGATAGGAGTCTTTTCTGGGCTACCTTTATATAAAATATCTCAAAAAAGGTAGAAAGTATTTGCAATACTTATTATATCAATATTAATAACCATTGCCGGTTTGGATTGCTAACAGTTTTTAGCTATCAGTCATAACTTATACATATTATCATTGAGGTCTTAAGCTCTATCAAAAAGGTAAAATAGAGTACAAAAGCTTTCATCGTTTAGGAGGAAAAGAGTGATACCTTTCGTAGTCCATGATAGTGTTGAGCCTGTGTGCGATCGTGAACACTGTCCGGTCAGCAAACTCTCGGCGAATCGTCTGTTGAATTAGTTCATCAGTTTCCAAGTCCACGGCGGCTGTAGCTTCGTCAAGAATTAGAATTTTGCTCTTTCGGAGCAGTGCACGTCCTAAACACACCAGCTGTCGTTGGCCAACACTTTGAAGAAGTAAAAAGAATGGACAAAGAGTTTCGCAAAGAATCGTCACATCAACCGAAGAAGATAGCGCGGCGACTTGACACTGCCTGCTAATGAAATACTTCCGTTCTATCAATTTTTAATGTCGTTATTTGGTGGTTTGAATTCTTTAACTTAAACACCGACCCTTAAACGATAGTTTTCATTCAGTCAGAGCCCAAATGATAACAAACAGAATGAAGTTCTACCTCAGATTCTCGCCTCCGTCTTGAATAACAAATTCGAGTCCTTTATCAAGTCCTGATACGAAACTCTTCAGGTGAGCCACTTCAAGAACATCCCACAGCTCTTCATCCGAGTATTTATTAAAAGGGTCTAGGTTTAGCCGAAGACTTCCTGAAAATAACATGGGATCCTGTAAAGAGAAAATTCAGAATGATAAAAAAATAGAAAAAAAACAAGTAAGACAAAAAAATAAAATAACTGCGTATGCTAAACTGATCGTGGAGGTTCCCCAGGCTTAAGTTTGACCAAATAAGGACCAAATACATAATGGGCATTTTGACCTCTCCATGAACGCCACGTTAGGGAAAGAGGAAAGTGGCCGTTGAAGAGAGGCGGTCGAATTGGGGAGATTGGGGTGTAATATTACACATTTATTTAAAGTGGCGTAGATCACTTTCATTTTCTGGAGAAGTGCATGCTAAAAGGTATGAATACTTAGCACACACATCACGCTAAAGACAAGAAACCAAAAAGCGATTTTTAAACCTGGACCGATAATAAAAACGAATAAGATACAGTGGGTATAACGTTCTCTTTCAAAAGTGAAAAAAAAGCTAATTAAAACTGATGATAAAGAAAATGATTGCGTTAATGAAAACAATATTTAAAACGACTACAATGATAAAAAAATAATAGATAATAATCATGATGATAAATCTTGGTTATAGTCTATCCTCGCGGTAGAGTGCTCCATGCGTTCGCAGAGCGTGTTATATTTGAAGATTCAACTACTCAATAGGACATAACTTTTTCTGTGACTGAGTTTCACGCTTAAGCGATCATTTAGAATCTGAAACTCAGAGTCAGAAAAAGTTGTCTTATTGATTATTCCAATCTTCAAATATAATAATCAAGATGAAATACTTAAGATATCAAGACCCTTGCAGCTATTTTTCCTCCAATGAAATTGGTCTCACTTGTGGAATGATGGTGAGTCGTGATCGCAGATCCTGCAGTCCAATCTTAGAGATATCAACTCCATCAATAAGAATCCGTCCACCAGCTCTCTCCAGAATACGAAACAATGCTAAGGTAAGAGTTGACTTGCCAGCTCCTGTGCGACCCACGATACCGACCTGTTTTGGCATGAAAAAAAGGGAAGGATTGTATAAACATTATGAAAGTAATAAATCACATAAAAAAGTTTACGTTAAGTTTCACCAGACTGGCGGCCCAATCCTGCCAGAGCTTAACCTGGTGTACTTAGCATGTTTTGACTTGCTACTCATCTCGGATGGGGTAGTCCATCTCAAGAACTCCTCGGCATTTCTCGAGACTTCGTTGAGAATAAACCCATCTACTGTGTATATAGCAGAACTGTGAGAGCTAGGAAAATGTTTTTTCCCAAGAAGATGGCACTATAAACCCTCTAGCGCTTTAATCCAAAATTCTCTAAGGCCATAGCTCGCCTATATATCTATTTATTTATTCCGTACAAAAAGCTGGTGTGTCGTGGATGGTAAGAAACGTTACGTTTCTAATTGCAAAATCTCGAATATTTTAACAGAACACTCACCTTCTCTCTTGCTCCGATGGTGCAATTAATGTCTTTGAGTACGAGAGGTAACTGTTCTCTGTAACGCATGTCAAAGTGTTCTATTTCTACCCTACCCTGGTGAGGCCAGTCACTAGGGGGACGGTGAGATGGAATTATCCATTCGGCCTGTGAAACATAAATTACCACATTCATTTAATCGTGTTATACGATTTAGAAGGCACCGTTATGATAGGCAGTTTTCTTTGTACATGTCAAGCACTTTCTAAAGCGAGATCAGAATGGATGACCGTCAAACAAATAACTGTTTAATAATGCATTTGATTGTGCGTTTCTTCATAAGAATGGTTGTGCAAAAAGTGAGTTCGTGGGAAAAACTACAAATGAAGCCAGAATAGGCCCAACGCTCTGATTACTATCAGAGAACTCTAACTTCAGTTTTAACATTAATCGACCATCATGTGTAATTTGAAAATTTGCTCGATCGTGTTTACACACAATTCATGCCGTTGACCCCAGAGAGAGCTCTGATCGGAAATGGATTTTACTTCATTTAGCTTTGTCTTGAATGTACGTTTTCATAACTTTGGGTTTCAATCAATCAATCAATCAATCAATCAATCAATCAGTCAATCAATCAATCAATCTTTACTCCTAAGATAAAAAGACATATCTTAAGTTACATCAGCATTTAGGAGTCTAAAAATACATAAGACATACTGCATACAAATAATAAAAGATTAAAATACATAAGACATACTATATACAAATAATAGAAAGATCAAAGATTATATTTAAAAACAAGCCTATTTACAAAAAAACATTCTTAAATCTGTCAGTCTTTATATCCGAGCGATGAGCACTTTGTTTCTGAGTTGGTGCTGGTTGCGAAACTCAATCGAAAAGCGCGCTATATTTTCAGGAATTACACAAGGCACAACTGAGAACTCACCTCTCTTGCAATTGCTGAATACTCTTTAATTCGTTCGACCGAAACAATGTTAGTTTCCAATTCGCTGCTCTGACGCACCATCCAATTTAGTGAACCTGTGATCTGTTGAAGAACACAGCCCAATTAACTAAAACTTTTTCAACATAGCAAGCCTACTGGGTTTGTTTTTCAACGAGAAAAGGGCCATTTTGGAAAATGGGCTAAAAAGTCCTGCCAAATAAGTAAACCGTCTTACATAATACGACAATTGTCGGATTGGGTGGAAAAAAGCGATTTTTTGTTTTTCTTTACCTGCAATGCGTATGCCACAGAAAGCCCAACAAGACCAGGGGCTATGGTCTCTCTAGCTATTACAGCAAACAATGCAGCAAAAAACAGAATGGCAGCTCCAATGAATTCCAGGCGTAGAGCTAACCACCTAATGAGGAAAATAGTTAATATTTTTCAAGGAAAATAGCTCATAATTGATTAACTTTGGTGAACTTTATCTCTACTGCACGAGGGCGTCTCCCTCGGTCAACTATTTGTCATTAGAAATCTTTGGCCCAATCAACCCGAATAAGTGAAAATACCTGTTTGCAGAAATAGCTGGATAGTGCGCCACTTGAGACTCGTCCATTCTACGATAGATCTCTGTAATAAACCTCTGCTGCTGAGAATAAGCGCGAATGGTGCTTGTACCATTGATAGTTTCAAAGAAATGATTATAGATTGGAGATCGGCTGACAGATTCTAGTCTTCTCAACTGACGAGATGTTGCCACGAACGCTCTCTATTGTAAAATACACCGAAAAGGAAAGAAGTCAAACAAACCGACTTGAAATCGATAATAAATCAACTAAGTAGTAGATTCGACTAAGGCTTGACGCACGAAAAAAGGCCTCTGCTGATTCGTTACAATCGTTCGTACACTATTAACAACTGTCCACTGCACTTAAGAGAGCACCCGACTTCTTTCCAGCTTTTATGAAGGTCCTAGATAGAGCGTCTAACTTAGTTTATTTCAAAGGCCATTTGGTGGACATCACAAGCCATTTGGATGGTACATTTACAACTGGCCGTCGGTTTTGCAGTTAACTGATGGAGCGACTAAAAGTCTGGCAAGATTGAACTTGGTCCTTGTTGGAGCTGAAGATTTTACCCTCTATTCTACAATTGCAATCTGAATTAGTCTTTTTTCAAGTAAAACATCATTTTCTGCGCTTTATTTGTCTCTATCTTTTTTTTCATTTCTTCATTTGAATTGTTTTTGTCTTGTCTGTTTCCTGTTATTTTTTCCATTTGTTCTACAGTGTTTTGAAATCTTCAGAGCTTTCTCTATTTTGTGATTTTTGGGTGTATTATCTTTGTTATTTTTGTTCTTATTGTTTTTGTTATTGTGATTGCATACGACTTACCTGAATAAATACGTAGAGGGCACCAAGTGGTAAAACACAAGTTAGAAACAGAGGTGTAGAATAACTAATAATGACAATTGTTCCGACAGTGGTTAAGAACGTTCTGAGAAACATCCCCAAGGATTTTGGAATTTTATCGTCAACGGAGTTAATGTCTCTAGACAAGCGGTTCACAATTCTTCCCAGAGGTGTGGTTTCGAAAAATTGCATAGGCAAATGCATAATATTAACAAGTAGTCCATGATGTAAGTTTCTGGTGGCTTTCATTGCACTGTACTTTAAAACAAGAGACATTGCACTAACAAGAAGGACTTGACCAAACCCCAATGCACCGTAGACTCCTAGGAATATGTCACGCTGTTGCGATGTCGTGACATTGGTTGAGCTCCACTCGGCAAGCCATATGCGTGACATAATGATCGCTGATTCACCTGCAAAACCGCTGAGGAGAATTAGAAAGGAGCAGATAATGCCTAGACTGCCTGCATATGCCCATATGACCGAGAACTTCACCTGTCAATAAAAATAAGAAAAGAGAAACAAAATGGGGTAAATTCCCATCTGATGAAAACTGAATGGAAGGTAAAATAAACAAGATACATAAATCACAAATTGGATTTAGCAAATGGATACCTATGAAGTAGCTAAATTTATCGATTATACCCTGTTGGAGTTCAGGATGTTGGTCATTTTTGGAGAAGGAAAACTGGAAAACTACAACAAAAGAGTTCAGGAGCAAGGATGAAAACCATTTTAAAGAAACTCAACGAACGCGTGAGGCCGGGTTCAAAAATCCAAGCCGGACCACAGGAGAAGGGATGTGGGTGTTTCCACAACCGCCGTCCCTGTTTTCCATATATGAACCAATAAGCTAATGACCCAAGAAAGACAAATGGCCTGTGGAGAACAAAATCGAACGTTTAAGGAACTGCATCAAAAAATGGAAACCTACCCTTCCCGTCTGTGACCTTTCATCGGAGGTTGTCCTGCCTGCCTTTCCTTTCTTCTCTCTCTTCTCGACGATATTCTCTCTTTCAACATTTCCTTCTTTTGCGAGTAAGCTTTCGTTTTCCTTTTCTCTTATGCTAGGACTATCTTCAGGTTCGTTGATAAAAATCACTGGTGGTTTTTCAACACGGTCTTCAATATCTTCTTCTACCAGCGATAATAAACTATTCACCGAGACGCCACTAACAACACTCCGCTGATGTTGGAAATTTGGTGGAACACCTAAAGACGACACAGCTTCGTCTTCATCATTTGCATTATCAAATATAGGCTCATCCTCTACTGCATAATTGGCGTCTAAACCTTCACATCCAGACAAAAGACTGTTCAATGAAAGCAAACTAACAAAACTGTGGCGATTTTCAAGATATTGCAGTTTTTTCAGTGGAGATTGGTTTCCAGACTGTTTCTCAACGACAAGCCTTGCTAAGTTAACCTCACTCTGCGATTTTGCTGCCTGGTGACGAGGATGAAGCTCGTTGCCTAGGTGATGACAGCTGACAGATCGATTGTAGGCCACATTTCTGGATTTTTTCCCATTAAGTAAAGATTTACCATGACCTGAAACCTCTCCCATGTTTCCTTTGTGCACTGTAAAGTATAAAATAATTTACATACAACGGATTTCGTATTGAGAAAGATACACCAGTCAACATTTGGTATATTCATGTATCATGCATGTAAGTCACATGCAGTTCAAGCACACCCGCAATATAAGTATCAAGGGGGTTAAGCGCTGCTGATTAGTCATTAGACATCCTCTTGACAGCCTCTTTCGGCTTGATCACAACCTTGAGGAAGGGAGGAGGGGTCCGCTCGCGGAGGTTTATGTTAAAGAAATAAATCTCAAGCGCCTTAACCATAAATTGAGATTTAAAATCTAAAAGCATTCCGAATGAACATTATGGTTAACTTACTCTGTTCGCCGGCTTTCTCGCCTGCATAGGTATCCAAGAATTCAGCGAACCACCCTTGAGATGATTTAAGGTCTGTATAGGTACCAACCTACAACACACATTCAACAAGTGAAAGAATCTCAAACATCCCGAAAGAGAAAGGTAGAAATAATCAATATATCAGTCGTATCTTTTTTATTATGTCTCCTTTCTTTGACTAACTATTAGTGTTTTGTTTACACAATTACTTGTAATCAACAATGATTTAGATAAACATATACAGCCAAAAACTAACGATAAAAGTCCGACGTTTAGGCGATATCTTGGCGCCATTGTCAAGGAAAACTAAATTAAATATGCGATCTCAAGAGTAACTAAGAATCCAGAGTCACTAATTTGCATAGGTCAGGCAAAGACCTTAACGCGAATTGAGCCTGATTGTACGTTCAAACACGGTCGTAATTGTTAATGTGTAACATCTCATTAACGAGACAATCAAACTTGTTATGGCATTTTTTTCAACACCTCAAAACGACTGTGAAAGATTAAGATTCTCGCGGACAGAGCCTTTAGTAACAACTTGTTTAACTCTGAATACGCTTTGAACATTTCGAAGCAGGACCTTATCGATCTTTTGGGTGTGGCTACCAAGAACCAGCTTTTCCAATTCAATAGCTCCTTGTATGAACAGGTCGACGGTGTGGCGATGGGGTCCCTCCTTGGGCCCTTGCTAGCCAACGTATTTATGTCATCTATTGAAGAGAAATTAGACGTTGAGGGTAAGCTGCCACCTTATTATCGTCGATATGTTGATGACACATTCACAATGATGCCTGATTTGTCTACAGCAAGGGATTTCCTCAACACTCTCAACCACGCCCACCCCCCCATAAAATTCACTATGGAGGTCAAAAGCGATGGAATGCTCCCCTTCCTAGGTATTCAACTCCTAAACCGAGCGCCCCACATTAAAACTAAAGTGTTCGTGAAACCAACAAACAGTGGTCTGCTCCTCAATTACCACAGTCAYGTTGATAATAGGTACAAGCGCGGCCTATTGACAACTGCGCTCGATCGCGCATATTGCCTGTCCTCGTCATGGTCTTACTTCACTGAGGAGTGCGAACGACTGAAGTCTGTGTTCTCTAAAGTGAACTATCCTAAGCACCTTGTGGACCCCACTGTTAAAACCTTCCTAAACTTAAGGATCGCTGACCAGTCTTCATTGCGGTTAAAATCTACGACTGAAAACACTACTCGGGTTGTCATACCCTATTAAGACCAAGAATCAGCTAATATCGTGAAGAAACAGTTAAAAGAACTCAGTGTGAAACTCCAGATCATTGTCCAACCAGTGTTTACGAGCCGCAAGATTGCCCAGGAGTTCCCGACAAGCGAACCAAAGCCTCAGCTCATTAATCAACAATGCGTTGTGTATAACTTCATATGTGACCAGTGCGATCCTGGTTATGTCGGATACACCGGTGGCCATCGCTTCGTACGCGTTGATGGACATAAAGGCAAGACCTCGTCAGTGCGCAAACACTAAGATAATAGACACGCAGGCAGGGTTCCGGATGACTTTCACAGTTGTTTTAAGATGTTGAAAAAATGCCATAACAAAGTTTGATTTTCTCGTTAATGAGATGTTACTCATTAAACAATTACGACCGTGTTTGAACGTACAATCAGACTCAATTCGCGCTAAGGTCTTTACCTGACCTATGCAAATTAGTGACTCTGGATTCTTAGTTACTCTTGAGATCGCACATTTAATTTAGTTTTCCTTGACAATGGCGCCAAGATGTCGCCGAAACGTCGGACTTTTATCGTTAATTACTTGTAAGGCTAGTTTAAATTATCAAATATTTGGTAAGCAATTTAGCAAGTTAGAGAGTTTCCGCTATACACATTGCAAGGCTGAAAGGTGCAAATAGAGTGACGCAAAACTCTGAATACAAGTCGCTATTTAAGAAAACGTTTACACTAGATGTGCGTTTCTGTATATTTATCTCCGTTTCACATGTACTTATAAACATGCACCGCTTTTAATTTCAAAAATTCAATTCAGTTTTACTTGGTAACCAGTGTTCTACCCATAGTTTCTCTACTTTCCCTTCGTTCTTAACACATACGGTCACTTAAACAAGCGCTCGAAAGAGGAATTGCCTCACTCACCGCAGGTGGTTTTCATGAGGATCCCATGATTAACCGTGAAACTACAATGAAAATTATTTAGTAAGATCACAAAGTTCCCGCATCACAAACTTACGAAAAAGTGTAAGCTAAACCGTCGCATTCCTCACTCGAGAAAAATAGGGTCAGTACTAATCTGGTTTTGACGAGAATCAGTTCCACTTTTATATGCCCACTGTTACTTCATAAAGCAACGCAACTTGTAGACATGACCACCAGTCTTCCAGCAGGATTCTAATTCTGTAGCATACTTTCTAGCTTCAACCAAACATTAAGAGGGTAAGCACCACGCTCGTCATCTTCATAAACATACGGGATATTAAGCACAAGTAGTACAACTGGTGACCTCTGTTGAGGCTGGGTGTCAGGTTATGTTTGGGGGAAGAAACATCTTCCAACGAATATGTGTTCCATCTCCATAAAGACAATAACGTGCACCGAGAAGCATCCCATACTTTTTTTAACAGTTAAAGTTCATTTTCGTTTCAAAGCCCCCAAGAAGTTTAAGAATGAAAACAACATGGACATCAACAAAAACAACTAAATCTCACCTCACAAACCTCGCCATCTCGAAGGACAATAATTTGGTCCGCATATGGTAAGAACTGAATACCATGTGTCACAAGAACACGTGTCTATGAGTTAAAAAAAAAAATACCAATTTCACTAACTCGTTTTATAAACATCTGTCTCAAACTAACTTCGAGTGTAAGGCATTTGAGCAAATTTTCTGAAGTAATGTTGTGTGCCGTTTGAATGCTCCCCGCATTAGTTCTGAGTAAAAGTTTTGTGAAATTCTGAGATAACTCGGTTTATACAAAGTAAAATTCTTATTCTTTTTATACGACTTTTTATAGGGTTATACAATAATTAACAATTATTCCACGAGCGCGCGTTGGCTATAATTATCTCATCCAACAAGCGCGAGTGGAATAATTGTTTTATTAAAAAGACGCCCCCAAGGTTTTAGACAAATCTTCTCTACTTTATTTTGTAAGAAGAAACCGGCTGTTACAATGTACAGATATTAGTGTAGATCGCAACGCATTATTTTGGTCTACTGTTTCTTATGCAGTAGTGTTAATTGCAGTAAAGTTTTGCCTGAGCTTTCTTTGTGTCATTACTTTACGTAGCATGTATTTAAACCGTATTGTTCATCGTTGGTGCAGTTTTTTCAGTGCAGTTTTGTCAAGCGTTTTTTATATTCGTTCTTTTCGCTTCGCGCAGCTTGTTCGCCACTAGGCAGGATTTACAACATCGCAACAAATGTAATTTTGTATTATGCAGTTTTCGTCGTCGTTTTCTTTGTAGCTTTCCTTCGGTATTTAGTGTAGTTTATATTGTAATAGGTTTTCGTTTGCTGTTTTATTTGCAGTTTTAACCGTGTTGTTTCGCGTGTTGAAATTGTGGTTGTTAGAGTTAGTCGCCCGTGGCAGTAATAATTAGATTATGGTATATTGGCTCATATACCATAATGGCTAAGCCAATAAAAAGTCTTGAACTGCATTATCCAACGATCCAGTTTTTAATAAAAAGTGATACACTAGACCTTAAAAATCGTGCTTTAACAAATTTAACTGTTCTGTTCCATAGCAGCCAGTGAGCGAAACCCGGAAAAAATATTGCTGCAAATCTCTCAGTTTAGTCAAGTCAAGATTGGCACGACGTATTCTTGTCCTTTTGGCCAAACGCACGAACGTCCCCTCACAATAGAAAAATATTGTAATACAATTATCCTCATATAGTACCTTTTCTTTTAACAGTCCCTGAGGTCCAATAACTTCATCAAAAATACGTTTTCCAACATGCGAGTCCACAGCACTGAGTGGGTCGTCCAACAGGTATATATCAGTATTGAAATACACAGCACGAGCCAGGCTCACACGCTGTTTCTGCCCTCCACTGAGGTTTATACCCTTTCAGAAAGAGATAAACATTTAACCCGTTGACTCTCAAGATCTTATCGCTAATTATCCCCTCTAGCGGCCACACACTTCCTAGCAATTTGGTTGTAAGAATTTGGTGTAAGATCAAGATAACAACTTCTACGTGATAAGTTTTAAAATAGTCCTTTTTACAGTCGTGGGCTTGGTGGCCAAGCCTTTGAACAGGAGTGAGGTTAAGGGTGACGTTGTTATGATACAGATGTTGCTGCTTTTCAAAAGAAAATTTCTTTGTTATCATGCTAACTAGATACTGGTCTCTATCACAACAATGTCACCCTCAGCCTCACTTCAAATCAAAAGCTTGGCCACTAAGTACACAACTGTAAAATGGTCTATTCAATACAAAACTTATGAGTCATTAGTTGTTTGCTTGACAATGTATGGATATTATGGGAAGAAGTTACATGTCGATCGCTTCTGAAAGTTAGAGGGTTAACAACGATAAGTACGTTGAATAAGAAAGCGGCTCCATGGAGCTTTTCACCATCTGCATTCAATTAATTGGAATACATTGTCAGTGTCCGTCGCCACAAGGGAAAGCATGAGAGGATTCAACTTTTAGCCACCCACAAGGAAATAAAAAAAATACTTTCCAGTTGTTTGTGACATTTACTCTTACACCTGTAGATCTATATTCATATAGATAATCGGCATGCTGCGCCAAGTTTCGGTGGAAACATCCTGCACGGAATGGTTGGATCAAGATAAGACTCAACGTAACCACTAATACCCCACTGTCACCTACTCAGGTTGAACGTAAAATGAACTCAGTGCTGTTGTTGTTGTTTGTTGTTGTTGTTGTTGCTGATGAGATTATTTTGTACCTTTTCGCCAATCTCCGTCATGTCTTCTGCTGGTAAAACCTGAATATCAGGTTCCAAAGCACAAGCGCTAATCACTTGTTTATAGCGTACTGAGTCACGTGGATTACCAAACAGCACGTTTTCCTGAAGCGTTGCATTCTGGATCCAAGCTTGTTGTGGAACATAAGCAGTTGTTCCCTAAAATTGCGAAAAAGGCAAAGAAAACACAGATTTTTTTTTTATAGTTATAGACATTTAGCAAAATTGAATTTTAGAAAAATAATTCGAAAATTGAAGGAGGTCATATTTCAGCCGCGACAGAGGAAAGTCTGTTGGCCGTGATGCTGTTTGTAAAGCTGTTGCTAACATAACCGTTTAACTCCCAAGATCACATAAATAGTTCTTTATATGATCCTTTCCTTGTAAGTATAAAAAATAGAATTTCTTGCGGATCGATAAAACACCTTATTACTGGCAACTACGTTTGGTCTCTCGACCTGTTTGTTGGTCAACGAACCAAAACTGCGGGTGAGATTCCGAGGTAAATCCCTTTTCAAAGTTAAAGGTTGATTTTTCAACCTATCCATCACTGAATATGTAAGTGGGTCACCAAAGTGGGCTCCTGTGATCAGCCCGTTAAAAACCGTGGACAAATGCGGTCACATTTTGTGGAACGTGAAGAATCACAAACCTGTACAAATACTTTTCCATCACGTTTATCTGTTTCTCCGAGCAGAGCTGATAGCAGAGTTGACTTTCCACAACCAACGGGACCAACCACAGCCACAAGCGAGCCAGTAGGAATGCTTAAATTGATACTTTAAATAAAGAAAAAAAAATTGTTATTGTGGTCTGCTTGACAAAAAAGACGATAATCTCAATGGTATGTGATCAAAAGCTACTTGATTTGATTTAACAGGTGACAGTGTGGTTTGTGGTGCAGTTTCCTAATTAAAGCCTGGGAAGCTAACAGGGAAGATCACGTTTAATTATTGATAAAAAAAAAAAAAAGAATCCTTTCAATAAAGCAACATTTCAGACATCTAGACAAGGCATACCGTGCCCGTGAAATGTTACGAATAGGCTGAGTAAAGATCACTCCCATACAGATGGGTAGCGTTTCAAAATAATGTATCCCTACTAGAACGCTGAAGCTATAAAAATCTTTTGGATTCGGGACCTTGTTCCACACATATAGACCAAGAGGAGGCCCAGAAAACACTTAACTTTGTAGCTGGCTGATCCATGTGTTGGGATATGATGGAAGAGAAACACCTTTAAATTCCGATGTTTGATCAAACAAAAAAAACAGCACTTACTTTCTCAAAACAGGAACTTCGTCGTTTCTGTCCCAACAAAACGCACCATTTTTGACAAAAATTGCCAGTTCAGAACCTACAGGGAAAAAAGGTTCATATGTCCAAAGCCGCCAACGAAAGTAAAGGATCTAAATGGGCCTTCCAAAAGGTCAAGTTTGCATGGGAGACTAACTCGCATAACTTTTCCCAGATGGGAAGAATGTAATACGCGGGGACAAAGCTAATCAAGTTACAGATTTTTGTACCACATGGTCCAAACTAACCAATCGCTGGAGACGTCAGCTTTGAAACTCTTTGCGGTGGTCAATCCGGCTACATCATCAACTCAGTCGACAAAACCAAGTACCATGTGGTAAACAATTCTGTAACATGATTGGCCATGTCCAATAGTGCCTCGGTGTACTTCTGATGACACACATCGCGTTCACAGGTGATTGCCTTAAGCATTTCAGCGTTAACATGCGAGTTCATCTAAAACGCACGTCATGTGGTGTGTGCGTCCGGTTGTTCAAACTTACAATGTGATGGCATCTTGCGTTGGACATTTTCGTATTGTAATTCATCTAGTCGAAGGAATTGCTCCAATCGATGAAAGGAAACTTGAGCCTTATGAATAACAAAATAGAAACAATTAGAAGAACAAAGCGCTAACGAGACTTCAGTGTTCAGTTCTGGGACATACATGCAAGTGTGACATCTCTACACCTCTTTAAGTCAACGTTAATCGTAAGAGGATTCGCACGGTGCGTTCCCAGAGTTACATTTAATAAAAAAACCAACCTGTTTGTACAAAATTAGAACCCACCTGAATAACATTCACTATTACTCGAGGTAACATCATGAGAGGAAAGCGAAGAATGTTGAACAGGGAAATTGCCACAAAAGCTTTTTTAGCGGTCAGCTCGTTTCCAAGAAGGACGTATACCGTAAATGTGGCTAGGGACACCTGTTTAGGAGCATAGTTGAGAAATCAATACAACGAAAACTTTCCCTGACCCTGTTAGGCTTCATTTAAAATCTAAATTGTTGACTAATCGTTTGTTGGGCTAAAGGAGTGACTGTCATTGTCTCTCAGATACTTGGGCTTAGGGCGTTCTGCAGCCCAGCCCTGGATTCCCTGAGGTTTTGTTTAATTTCCGGCGGCATCTGAGACGAACAAGTCGAGTCATCCATGAAAAGCCTCTGGCAGCAACAACCGAAAGAGTAACTTCTTATCACTGTAGTTTGAGTTTTCTCACCAAAAATGGAGCGCAAATGAAAGTGAATGAAACAGCTGCCCCTAAGTACATGCTGTTGGCCAGATGATGCAGTTCCCTATCTCTAACAGATATGATCTTATTCATGAAGGATTCTTCCCAAGCATACAGCTTCAGCACCTAATGAGTAGAGAAGGATGAAGACAAAAACAGTGAATAGGCATTGTACGCAAATTTGACAAGAGAAGAGAGAGGAAACATATGCACGATGAATGCTTGATGGAGTTTAAATATTACCCGAGACAACACTGTGGTAAGCATTCAACACAAACAACCATTTCCAAACAAACCAAACTACCTTATGGGTGAAACTGTGGTGCTGCGTCGGAGAGAGGTATAACGAGATGATTTGGTTTTATCATCTGAGTTAATGATTTAAATTGGCCACCGTTGTGACTTTTTAAAGCTGAGTTTTCGAGGATTAGTCCTTCGTCGGGGCGATGACGAAGGGGTAAGACTTCAAACGCCTGCTTGAGTACAAGGGCCACTTTACATTTAATTTATACTGAACTCGGTTGATAAAACCAAATTAACTATTGGTTAGTGACTCAGTCTTTATGTTTGAGGAAAGAGCCTCTGCTGAAAAAACTAAGCTGTTATAAGAAATCACACAACCATTAGCAAGTCTCCTCCCTTCTATTCATTAGGCCAGATCGTACCTTGATTCCACTAAGAACCTCATTCATCACTCGGATACGTTCATCGGCATTTGCCATCTGCTTTACCTGTACACATGACAAATAGTCAACATTACACCCAGTTATCAGACTCAAAGCTATCGCAATTCAAATTTCAAATGGAGAAAGATAGGTGTGAAAACACACAGAATTGTTATGCATGAGGGGGAAAATGTTTTGGAAATTACCTTAGTTAAGCTCTACTCTCCCACTTACGATATTCATATGAGCATACTTAAGATTGCTGGGAGTTAAAAAATTTTAAAAAGGTAGTATGCAATATCCCACGATTCCGTCGCTTCTTCAGAGCCAACGAAACTACATTAAAGTTGCAATCTGAAGAGGGTTGTCTTCTTCATTTCGAGGAAGGAACTCCTCCTCGACAACCGGCAATTTTTTTTTCTCCACTTTCTTTCGGAAGGTCGCATCTTTTATAATATTACCTGTATCTTTCTGACTAGACGCGTTATTAGGAGATTCAGCGGCACTAACAGTAGCAGCATTCCCAGTCCAGCCAAGACTGCCACACCCATAGTGACATATAAGAAGTAGATGGCAACACATATTTGAAAAGGCGCTGACCACAGCTGATTAAGGGTTTCAACAAGCTGCATAAGACGCTGAGCGTCTACAGCCATAAAATTAACTGTTTCACCGGTTGTTGTTATCCTTCTTGAAAGGCTGTTTAATGACAAAGCCTAGTGAATTAACAGGGAAAAAAAAGAAAAATAGCTATAGAAAGCGAGTAACGGTTTTTTTGCAACTCGACACATTTAGCCTGGATATTTAGTTTGATATCTATGTCAAATTTGTTTAACTACAGTCATTCACATTCGTTTCTGGTTTATCCTCTTCATTTTGTTGAACATATTCTTCCGCCTAATTAAGAAGCTAATATTTCATGACCACCTTCACTTTTTAAGTAATTTTGCGACGAATGAATGAAAGATACAAAATATCACGGCGTAGCCACTTGAAAGGAGATCAGCCCACCATCAGAAAACTCCTGTACTGTGATATTTATCAGGCGTTTTCAGTGTTGATGGAGGCGAAGAAAGAAGATCAGCAACCTCTGCATGAGAAAACACAGACGCGTGAAGTAGAATGAAACATTCCACTATGCATCTAGTGGGATAATCAAACCGCAAGAACTTCTTTGCAGTCTTTCACAGATCAGTGCTTAACGTGCTCAAAATAACCCTTCCCCATCTGATCTTATCCTGAGTCTTACGTGAGAAAGATGTAATTCGTTTGATGATCTAGACAACATCATGGCCAGTATTTGGGTGTAGGAGCAAGGGTCAATTGCGAAATATGCCCTTACCTTGGCGTAAACAACACCAACAATACTTGTATGAACTCTCATTGCTGATTTAAACGCAATGTGCAGTGCATGCTGCACCGCTGTCATCTGGATGGTTGCCACAGTAACAATAACGATAACATACACATAACCCTTCCATCTTTCTGCATCGTTACCCTTATCTTCTGTATAGTCTATTAGAAGTCTGAAAAAGACCAAGCAGAAGAAGACTACCTTAACTTCCGCATCATTTTTAAATTTAAGCTTTATAATTGGCAAGCACATTGCATCGTTGTTTAAAGCAAGGAACGAGGACTCTCTAAAATCATGTTACAGAATTTAAGGTGTTTTGTTTAATACATAACGACATGATTTTTCTCATTAAAGGATTTTTATGAGAAAAGTTCAGGATTCTTATGAGAAAAGGTCAGACATGAATACATCCTTCGTTGTTTTTTTCCCTTTTGCATAATTCCCTCAGTTTATACCGTCGCCTTGTTATACCAATTTACTGTGTTACTTGTGGGCAAAGTCTTTGAACAAAACTATGTCCCAAAATTGTTTCGACATAATATTAACTTTCCTATTATTTCTTAATCCACAATCGAATGTTTTGTATAGGAAATCACATGATTTCGAGTGCAATTTGGAACAAATAAGCAGGAGTAAATTTTTTCAAAGACTAACAAAATTGCATGAGCTCGTGGGGTGAGTGCAATTTGTGGTCTTTGGAAAAATTTACTCCTGCTTATTTATTCCAGTTGCAAATTGCACGAGAAAAATCATGTGATTAAGAATTAATGATATTCATGAAAAAATACGAGGTAGCTTATCAAAATTATGCAGAAGAAAAGCGCGCACATCACGCGCGAAAAAAAAAAAATTATTCAAACCCTGCAAGTGATATTGTGCGTTCGGTCAAAACAACCACGTACGATCAAAACTTTATATAAGATAAAATGAAATGTTCTCATCTTTAAGGCGCAAAAAAGTTCAAAGTCCGGCCAAACAGTTCAAGGAATTGTTCAGTGAGTTTGGTAATTCTGCGAGTTTCTTTGATTATTGACCAATCAGAATGTCTGGTTTGTTACTTTCTTTACACTGAATTAACCCTCTTCTGCCCTGAATTAACTCTCTAATCTGCACTGACTTACCTGAAAACTGCAGTTATCTTAACCAATCAGAACTGAGTAATTTGTTCATGTATATTATTAATTCTAGAACTCAATGTTTCTGGTATCCAGTTATGTTTTAAATTGAGACAAAATAATCCATGAAAGAAAAACAATTAAAATATACTGAAGTGAGTGTCACTTGTATCACTAAATATCAGCTGATATAATTGAGCACTTGTTAAAAAAGGCCTCAAAACCCTTCTGTCAAACTTTCATCAACCCATTAAGGCCATAGTACATTGTAAACAGAGAGTTCACTCACCCTAAGAGATAGGGCTGAACAAACAACAGAATGCCATTCATCAACTTGAAGAAAATCGCAATAACAAAATAAGGTGCAAAGACTCGTATCATGGCTTTGACTAGAGAGGGTTCTCTGCATTTTCCATGAAATGCAACGTCACTGGCAGTCTGAAGATGATGCTTTCCAAAATCCTGGTCATTAGAACACAGTGCACCATTTCTGCTGAGAAAATGGAGGCAAAAATTTGACCTTTTGAGTGGTTGTGGTACACTGGATCTGTGCTTCCATTCACAGTAAGATGTAAACCCAATATCTCCCATTTACATCTGTATATCCTTTTAAGAGTATTGCTAAAGGTGGAAAAGGGCCTTAAACCTTCACCTGACTACCCCCTCCCCCAATATAAACACTTACACCATATTTAAAAATTTAGTTATTTTTTTATGCCATAGTAAAAATTGGCCAGTCTGTAGAGTTTCCAAAGCTGACATTTTGACTATCAGCCCCTCATTAGCCCTTTCACTTTCATTTACTTAAGACTAAGATTGAAAGTTGACCTTTTGAAACTCTTTATGGCAGCTTAAATTTACATTTAGTGGATGAAACCAAATTATCTTGCACATAGCATTTTCCACAAATTTATGCAGTACCACTGTTTCATTAGAAACTATAGCCTCCTTTGTAATACAGTTTCATCATAGAAAAATCGATCACTGACCTATGGCACTTCCTTAATTCTTTGTCCCATTCTCTGTGAAGTCTTGGCACAATATTGTGAGACAAACTTTCCTCCTCCAGTGACCATAAATCACTATCCAGCAGTGTTCTTTTAAAGCCAGTTAAAATCAGACTGCAAAAACATGTTATAAAATGTAGAATTATCACATTGCCAGGGGTTTCATTAATGTTTTCAGCAGGAGGGCAACTGGTTTTCACAGGCAGGCAAAACCTTTTGAACTAAACTTCTTTATAGGAAAAATCTTCCTCCAGATTGTTAAACCAGGTGGGCAAAACCGTCCTTACAACCGGTCAATTTGGCTAGTGCCCGGCCCTTAATGGGCCATATAGGTCATACAGTTTAAACTCCATACTATCATAATAGTAGGAAAGGACTTTCATGTTACTTTTTATATGGCAGTACAACATTGATAAGATGTAGAGTTAAACAGAGAAATTTTACCTCATATTTTATGATCAATGCTTAGGATACAAAAAACCTCCATGACTTTTTTCATCAATACACTCTATTGAAAATTTACCACTGTGACAATTTTTACTTCACAAGACAAAATTTTTTTTTTTGCAAGCAGTTTGCAGCTACAAACATTGAAGTTAATCTCATTGCCTAGTTTTGACTTGGAATTTGCAATACCTGTACATAGTATGCACCATAAAGCATTTTCATAGTCTCATATTTTCAGCAACTCGATCAATCTAGGCAGCTTCATGTAAATTCACTCATTGTCCCACGCTTGAGAAAGATGCGATCACCTTTAAAAAGATGTTACTTTTGATCTATAATAACATTTTGACATGAAGTATCTCTCATTTAGGGCTTCTCTGTACATGATTATCAATAAACTAAATGAAATTACTTTTTACATTGTTGAATATCAATCTAATCTATAACTTTTAAACACATTTCAATTTAGTAGCTCTAATTATCAAACTAGGTGAGCTTTTTACAATTGTAGACTGAAAGAAGAAAAACTTGTTTGCAAAAATAGTAACAAAAATCAAAATTTCCAGGGACATAAGCAGTTACCTGTTAAGCCACCAAAATGACAATCGTGAAAATATATTGGCTTTCACCTCAGGGCATGGCTTCTAAATCAAATGGTTAAATCAAACCTAAATGACTATTTATGACTTTCTGTACTCTATTTCTGTTAATTATTATTATCAAGTAATAAATATCAGAGGGAGGTCGAGGGTTCATGCCCCAGCTGGACCAACACTCAACTGGTCTTAAAACAAGTGAAAAGAATATGCTACCTAATTCTTTATCATACTCTAGTCTTCTCGGATTGGGACGAATAAATGGAGGTCCCGTCTCCTGCAGGGTTTGGGGGTAGGAGATATGTTAACTTCCCACACACAGGATTACTGTGTGATGGATGTCCTTCCCTGGGGTGGTTGTTGGGTGGGAATTGGCCCTTAAAAGCCCCCATGGGGAGTGGTCAACTAACATATGTATGTACATATGTATGTATGTATGTATATTCAATTCATCATTATGGGGAGTCATTGGAAACTTTAAGAATTAATTTTCAGTAAGAGGAATGATACATAACGGCATCTTTCTAGTGGCTAATGTTTTTTAACAAAACTTTTTTCAAGTGGATATATTTTATCTGGCAGCTGATGACCACAAATGAGGTCATACAAATCTGATAAGAAAGAATTAAATCCTTACCAATGGTTATCGAGAGGCTCAAAATAACTATAAGTTCAAAGATTTTCAGAGAATCAAACCTTACTGTTAGTAACAAAAGGAAAATTGAATGTAGACAGAATAACTTTGTACTCACCCTCTTTGATTCAATCATTGATTCAACCTTTGATACAATCTTTTTACTTGATATATTGGGAACATTTAGGATATTTGGAAAGAACTTTGATTCCATCTTCAAATTGACCATAGAGGATGAAAGCTGACCGCCAGTAGAGAGATAATGAATCCTGGAATTTAAAAAAGGTAAGTTTTCGAACAAATATTTAGCAGGTCTGATACACATATAATGTTTGATCATCACAGGACTAACATAATGAACCTATATACGTACTTCAGGTAATCAAACCTACAACCAGCTGGTGAACCTTGCGACTGAAAATTGAGTGTTGGCAACCAGAATTTTAAGGTTTCTGACCTGGTGTCTTATCAGTATTCTCAGCCCACATTGAAATAATTTATTTTAGTACCTTGCTGAAATTTTTAGCTACAATCCAGCAAGAATTATTCAGGCAGTGAGGGAGTGATTGAAAAGTATCAAGTAAGCAAAACAGAAACTGATGTAGAGGGGGAAACCTTTATGAATTATTCACTGACAAAAGATTGGATTTAATACATTAGTAGAGCGCTGTGAGGTTTATAACCCAAAGACAATACAGGGAAATTAAATACACTGCACTTACTTATTATCATCCACATCTTCCCTCAAAGGAGCGCATAAAATGCTTGGTATGAATCCCTCTTTTTGACTTAAAAGACATCTAACATAGAGCCAACAAGATTTTATACTCTTAGTCAGAATCTCAAAACTTTGACCTTTGCTTAATGGCAACTGAGCTTGTATGTCAGGAGGATTCTCAAGGCATTCTTGAGTTAAGACACCATCAGCATGCAGTGGGTTGAAGTCCTGGATGGCCACCACCCTTACTTTCTTTGCTGTCACTATTGATGATGCCATGCCTTCAGCATACAGGTATATCCCTATTATACCAATCACACTTCCCAGAGCATAGCATTTGGGAAAATCTGAATAAAATTTAAAAAATTAAAATCACAGCATCAAAACAGACTGATATTTATGAATAGCAGAGTTTGGTTTTTCAAGGGGGAATCTACCAAAGCATCCATATATGTTCTATTTAACACATTTTAGGTGTGTTCACTAAATAAGAATGAGTACATATAAAATATAAAGGATGCATGCACATCTGTTATGTACAGTGCTTATGCAAGGTACCGCTATAAAGTCAGCATCTGACTGCAACCATGTATTGACTAATGAATTAGCTAAGTTCCTGCAACCCTTTTCAAAGTCATTGACAATTTTCTAGAGGATCAATTGTTCCTTGGATATTTCCACATAGGTGCTTGTTTATCTACAATAGCCATCCAACTTCTCACTAGTATCAAGTCACCCCATAAACCTTTCAAACCGAGAGCTGAGTGCATCAACACACCCCTCCTGTGAAACATTATTCAACCTACTTATGAACTTCACTCTTTGAGCTAATTTATTCAAAAAAAGTGGTGAAACTTTTTCCCATGAGTGCAATTGCTGCTAGGAACAAAAGCTATTCATTGTCTATCTGGTACAACTTCTATAATCAGAGGCGACTTATTTCTTGTACTTGGCAGATTGAACCTAATTAAAGATCAAGATCCAGTTGTTCATGGGTGGATAATGCTGTCCAAAGAATATATCGCTATCCAGCATATAATTGTTGACAACGTCTAGTATGGCACAATTTATCCACTGGATAGAGAATTGTTCATTAAAAAGCATTGTCCACCCTTTACGAGACCAGGGCAACAGCTTCAAGACCAGCTAAGCCATGTGTAACATGTTAACGAGCTTTCCAGCAACATCTTGCTATGCAAGAAAAACTCAAGTTGTATATCAGAACTCTGGTCAAACCAGCAGATGGGTTGTTCTGAAAGCTATTTCTTCTTGTGCATGTGATACATTGCAAACCAGTTTTTTTGCATGCATGTCACATAGCAAGGATGCTTTTTTGCATGAATGTCTTTGTTTTGCATTGTAAATAGTACATATTTGAAAATTTTTAGCATACTTAGCATGCCAAGTCATGGTATGCATGCTCCTGCAAGCACCTTGGTTTTCCCATGGCGGGTCACATATTAACAACATTATCAATTATTTATGATTTTTTTTTTTGTTTAACTTACACACCTATGGCATTAAAATTCGTGAAAATTTTCCACAAGTTTGAATAACAAATAATAAATTTCACTGAATTAGAAGCCCTATGTGGAGTTCCTGAAAGTCGACGAAACAAGGAAAACAATTGAACCCAATTAAAATACAGTAAATACAATATTTTAAATGATGACATTCGATTTAAATTTTTTCTCTGAATGTATAATTAATGTATGGGGTTATATGGTACTCTTGCCGGAAACTATAATTTCCTAATTCCGCTTCGCGACTGAAACATCCCAAGAAAAATTATGTTCAATTGTTGGACCGGTAAAATTAAAAAAAATTACAAGGCTTCTGTACATGTAGGACAATGAGGATATTCAAAGTGCATTTGTCGATGCGATCAAGGACTCGACTGCTGAGTTTAGTGACGTTAAATAACATAACATGAAGCAAGAATAATTGCTTACCAAGATTTACCTACAAGACCCAATCATTTCGATACACGAGCAAATAATATTTGAGACGTGTTCATTGGGTGCGTGACTGTTTCTCATCAAATTTCCCAACGGAAATCCAACTGAAAACCAGGGAATACGATCAGTCTTTCCTTCCGGTTTGGGTCATGTTCCAAAGGGCCACAACATAACAAAATCAAAAAGTCTATTTTTAAATCGAAAACGTGACTGAGATAATTTCTTCGATTCCGTGTACCACTGCCTTTTTGCGGTAGACGCGATACAAAACATTAATTTTATTAATGTTGGCTGTTAACGGAGTTGATTGGTAACCAAGCCTCCTTCTCGATGTCGCTGTTGAGTAAGTTTGTTGCGTAATACTCCTTCTGGCGCGCCAAATGCGCCATATAACCCAAATGTAGAGGTAATGAAAGAGACACAAATAAATACGCGGGTAGTAGGGCTCGTGTTATGATATAATAACAATATTTCTAATATTCGCCTATTTTATGATTGATTGGGTCTCCATAATGTTTTTGGCCTTTTAGAGTTGGTCGTGCGGTAGCCCTCTGAGCATAAACCTAATCAGTAAATGAACCACCTTTCCAGTGATTGACACACGAACTTTATCCTTCCTTCTGCGATCGTTTTCTTTTCAACAACTAATCCTCAACTTTTCGGTCTCTCACTTTCATAGCATATCACGACCACATATTCATTTATTTTACACCTATCCCAATCTTGCACGCGCTTTAGCGAATTATTTCTGAATGATAGATTTGACTGACACTCTTAATTCCCAAGAGAGATTCGCTTCTAATTTCTCCTTTCAAAACCGCCCTTAAATCAAATGTAAATTTTGTGAGAATACTGGAAACGATCACCAATTTAAGAAGCTCTTGATAGTCAAAAAAATTCTCCAGTACCGTCGGAAACGTAAAGAGAACGGTGTAGTGAAAATGGATTCTAATCATAGTAAGGGTGCAAAGGATTAAGACTGCAATAAAGAACTACGTAATTATTTCTCTAAAAGAACTCCTCACTATACGTCAGAGCCCACAACAAAAAATTATTCAATTACAAGACGCATTCAAAAGGTAAAAGACTAAATAATTAAAAAGATGTCACATGACTGATAAGGTCAAATGAAAAGTTCACGTGACTCAAAGGTAGCCCCTCGGACAGAACAGTGATGTCCATTTCAAACAGCTATGGTTACCACAATGTAACATCTTGGGTTTGATTTACAACAGTAGAACATTGCTTTAATTTAGATCTATTTTCCACTTTCAGTTCGTCTCACATGTAAGCAAACATATGAACGGGGCAGTATCATCGGATCCCGAGGGCGCCAAAACGCAAAATCGACTTGGAAACTATTCCATCGAATTTTTCCACCGAGGAGTATCGGTAATAGAGTTGTTATTTAATTTTCATCTAAAAATTGTTTGCAAAGGTTAGTTCACCTAGTTCATTAATCATTATTCTCCCTGGAAAACGATTAATCGAAATTTAATAGAAGCACAACTGATCAACATGCATTTTTTTTTTTTTTTCTTTTTTTTTATATCAGCTGAGACCCTGGGTCATTTTGGAAGTAGCTTACTGCATCATGTACACCTGTTTCTCGCAGACTTTGTGGCTTTTGATAAAAATTTAAAGACTTTGCCGATAATCGACGTGGATTGAAACGTGTTGTTCAAGGAAGTCCGTGATGACGGATTTGCACGTCCCACGTCTCATCTGACCTGTATTTTCCACGTTAAACCAATCGAGTGCTGTCATCTCATTGCACGTGTGCACGTGACAACTATATAGTAATGCTCGTCATCATAAATTTGCATATACTGTCTTCAACTTTTCAGAGCCCTTGTGTAAGATGTCTGGGCGAGGAAAAGGAGGAAAAGTAGGAAAAAGTACAAGCAAAACCAGGTCTGCCCGTGCGGGTTTGCAGTTCCCAGTGGGAAGAATTCATCGCTTTCTTCGTAAAGGTTTGTGAAGTCAATATACCGTCTATCATGGACTAATCTAATGATTAGAGGGAAGAAATGATAACTACGAAGCTACAATGTGGAGAATTTCTTTTATACTTTCGAGACGCTCGTATTTGTGTCTAGTTGAAGAAACGGAACACTGAATTTTAACAACTTCCTAAAACTAAAGCTATAGCATTCTTGTTAACATCCCTTTTTTTATTTCACGTTTTTGCCTCTTGAACAAATAAAAAACTATGAACAGTAGTGCTTTCCCTAGTCGTGTAATCTAATGGAAACGCGGTCTGTTTGGTGCTTCGACATTTGTTTTTTTGTAGGAAATTATGCAGAGCGCATTGGAGCAGGAGCGCCGGTTTATCTTGCAGCCGTTTTGGAATATCTCACTGCAGAGGTGTTAGAACTAGCGGGTAACGCCGCCCGTGACAACAAGAAATCCCGTATTATCCCGCGTCATTTGCTGCTCGCGGTACGAAACGACGAAGAACTAAACCAACTTCTAAGCAACGTGACCTTCGCTGATAGTGGAGTGCTGCCTAACATACAGGCTGTGCTGCTTCCGAAGAAAACCGCGTCCAAGTCTGGCGGTTCAAAATCGAGCAGTCAAAGTCAAGAGTATTAGACCGGCGGAGTGACGGTGTAAAATGAAAATGTGAATAATTATATAACTGTCAGAGACCTCCTCTGTATCGATTGATTATAATGTATTTATTAGTTTGAATAAAACGAGCGAGGCTAAGAGTCTAAAATTTGTTATCCCGAAGTGATTATACAGTCATTGAACAATTCAACAATTCAGGTATTTGTCTTGTATTTATGATTGCATGACTCGACAAGGCCAGTTCATTGGAGTCAAAAAACACGTTTTGTACCTACAATTTAGATCTTCCCTTGTTTTGCAATTTTAGTTTTTCACCTCCACAGCTCTCTTAAAAAAGTTACAAACACTAAGGCGTCATGCCCTCGATCACCTGAAATGCATCGCAACAGTGATACTTCTCAAGCTCATTCATTACTCATAGAGTGATCATTCAACTGGCCTAAGAGGGGCCAGTTTCGCCCACTTGGATGTGATTTGAAACACCGAAATGAGGAGTTACCCATGAGCTTCGTGCAATACCAAACCCTCTAAGTTTGATAAAAGCACCAAAATCAAGTGAAAACACTTCTTAATTTGAATATCAATAACATGTATTTGAATGAGATGTGAAACTTGACAAAAACGAGTCACCCTCACAATGCCTCTTACCATAAAAGGAGTGTGATTTGGCATGTGCATTGACTCTGGTAACCCATGGTCATTTTGTTGTGGCACCTGCAATGGACGCTGGTATTACTGATTCAGGAGTACTCTAGTGATGAAATCCGGTAGCCACGGGTCCGGCAGCACTTGCGATGCCAGCATTTGCATTTGTATTTGGGAAATACAAAAACCGTGACCGTGACTAGGGATGGTGAGAGTTGAATTGATTTTGTTCTTTTTAATGTATGTTTTTTTGTTATTGTTTATTTGTTTTTCCTCGAAAAAAAAAAAAAAGTAGAAAGAACCGTCAATATTTTTCTTATGGCTATGTTTTATAACTGTGAAATGTTCAGCAAGCAACCTTGGACGATAATCCTACTCTTGTACGTTGGATCAGCAGTGATCTAATCGGCCCAAAATAACGAATATAAATATAGAGCAAGACCGATACAACGTCATAAGTTTTAAAACGCGGAGCACTATATTTCGGCTGGCCAAACCAGCCTTCTTTAGGTGCAGTGGGCTGGTTTGGCCAGCCGAAATATAGTGCTCCGTTTTAAAACTTATCAACATTGTATCGGTCTTGCCTCTATATTTATATATGTTTTATACGATTTTTCTATTTTTGATACAACCATTTAAATGGGTTTTGTTTGTGACAGCGAAAACTGATCGCTTTACCACCCCTCTCACCCCACCCTCTCCTCCCCTTCCCTTACCAAGTAAGAGTATTCCCGCCAAGTTCTAGAACCCAGTCTTTTTACTCTCGTTCAAAACAGTACACTCCCTCGCTAGGCCCCTTCGTCGTCTTTGACCAGTGTGTTGAGGTTTGCTGTGTCTGAACAGCAACAGGGAGAAAACAGGTTAGTATACCGCTATAATCTGCAATGCATTTAACTTAGGACGATTTTGAAAGAGTCAGAAAATTATTTATTTGAGGGCAACAAGGAGAGGCTTTTCGGCAGGGAGTCTGCACATGGACGCTCGCTCTAGTAGTATCGAACTCATTCGTTTGGCGCACATTTTTCCATTTTTGATCAAATCAAATGACAGATCGCAACCTTGAGTGTTAGCGTAAGAGTATTACTCGACCGCTTTGATGATTGTGTGGACCATCTGCTTCCAGTACGAATGAAATACATTGAGGTTCAAAGTAAACAAATGAGGGAGCGGATTTGGAAGCTACCTGGCTTGATCTGATGATGTTCTCGTGGAAGCAATTATTTTTTACTCGTCAGATCTGTTTGCAAATTGCTTCCATACCGGCGATTACAGAATGATAGCGAGTATTATTTAGTCTGATAGAATCGTATCATGATAATCAGTGGAAGTGGAAAAATTTCACGGTGGGAAAAGTTGATTTGCATGATCTCCGAGCCGTTGAACCGCTTTCATGGCGTGACTCATCATTAAATTTAACAACCTAAAATTTCATTTTGCGTTCGCCTTGGGCCTTATCATGGTTCTGTTAATGAGCTAGAGATTGAATTAATTGATTTAATTCGAGTTATATCGTACCACAAGATAAGTGCGAACGGTAGAGAAGTTCGAGCCTTAGTCAAATCTGAGTCACGAGTCATGTTCGAGACAACTCTAACCTTTCCTTTTTTACGGTTAAGTTTTCTCTTTCTGTGTTTTGGTCTGATTTCTATATCAAAATGATGCATTAGAGATTTAAGAACACCTAGGTATAAGCTTTAGACTTTTTTCACGGCCGTTTGTTAATAGAGAACAAAGAGAAACATGACGTGACTAACTCACAGCTGCGTTCAAAGAAGTAAACATTAATTTATCCACGAGTTTTCTTCACAGATTCCGACCTCTTTTAATTGCACGCACCTCAGGCACCGTCCAAGTTTTATGTCAATGACAATCCGTCTAATCTGACTCGGAGCATTAGAGAAACTCAGTAATTCTTGCACTCGACAGTCATCTGTTACACATCTCATCGAAAAGCAGCGCTACAAGCTAACTCATGCTCTCCGCGGTCAAAATTGCGGAGAGAACAGATATCATTGTTCTGTTACATGTTTGTTTCACCATAACGATCATGTCCAACTTTTCTTGTTTTTCTCGTGGAGTGCAGGTTTCACTTGTTTAAAATTTTCGGAGCACCATTAAGGTGTGGAGTCGTTGTTATGTAATGCAGGCTACATGCACAAGGTCAAAAAAGGCGTAGTTAGTCATGAACAGGACCACAAACTAGCTCAGAGATGACTCCAAACAAACACCTGGCGTGTTATTTTATTGATTCAGCCTCGGTCAATAACAAACTAACTCTTGAAATAGCGCGAAACTTTTGGTTGAGCCACCCGCTGATTGAACTTTTTTTACTTCAATGGTGATTGATTTTGTTTCGTTTTGTTTTGTTATGCTTTCATATGACGGTTTCAGTGTTAGGGTATTGTCTAACAAAATTGTTTTATGAAGACAGAAAAAAATGCAGTTCAAACTTGACTCCCGACCTGAAATTGCTCGACTCGTGATGCGATATACGTTACAATCTATCTAGCCTCAATTCTCTCTTGACCATCTTCATTGGGTTTTAATTGCAGGAACTGTATGTCATTATACTTAAGAGTAAAACAAAGATTGACAAAAATTTAATTCGAATTTTAGATTTCGAAATTGTTATAAGCCTGTCAGCCTAAAGATGTAATGCTATTTAATTTTGTTGGGTTTTGTTTTACTTTTTTTTTTTTTTTTCAGGTTTGCTTTTTTGACTACTACAATACCAGTGTACTGTCCAATGTAATTATTTTCTAAAGAGAGAAAAAATGCAGTTGACTCTAGCTTGACTTGAGACTCCAAACTTTCTAATACAGTAGCATTACTTAAAAATTAATTCTCTCATGTAGTAAGGGTGTCTTAATTCACACTCATTGATAATACCTCCACCTGAGGGGAAAAAAATCCAAATGTAGCTGGCAATGACAGACCATGCCAGAAGGGGTACAATGTAAAAATACACCTTTTTTCAAGGTTGTCTTCCAGCCTTACCTGTGCTCTTTGTTGTTCATGCAGTCTTTTGGGGTGTTTTCTGGATAAAACACTGATTTTGACTTCACGAGAATGTAAATCAATTGCTTTTTTTCCCCTCTTCAGTCATTTATGATTATAACAAACTCCTTATTAAATAGTTATCTATGTCTTGAATATTTATTTAAATAGGTGTTGGTATTTATTTTAATTGTTTGACATTCTCTGATGTTACAGTGAATGTACAGACTGAGGCTAATGTAACAATGGGGGAAGAAACAAAAAAGGATCTTCTAGTTATAGCAGTGACTGCACATGATCCCAACCAGGAAGATGACCTCAAGGCACAAGAGGCAATGGACACTGCTCCTGATGTCTCAGTACAGCTGTCCATCATGCGAAAGGAGAAGTTTGAAGTTCTTGGAAGGAATGTGGGCTGGTGGCTGTATGTGAAACGTGTTGACAAAGAGGAGAAAGGTTACATTCCCAGCACATGTGTTGTACCACTGAAGGATGATTTAACCCATGAAGAGTAGGTTGAAATCATTACAGTTACTTTTCAAGTGGGCTCTCAAATCTCATGCATTTAGCACAAGACTCACACAAACATTAACTCAACCTAACACTTTCACTATTATTTCTTTTGCCTTTGAGATTTCTGATTTAAACTGTTAATTGGAGATAGCAAACTGCTGTATTAGTGACGTACCCATAAAATTAGATATCTTTCTCTAGAGATCTAATTTACTCCATGTTCCCTTGTACAATCTTGAATCATTTTCAAACACTAGAAATTCTGCATGTGTAGAGCCATCTGTTACACCAATCAGTGGATTTAATGACTTAATTGCATGTGATCATAATTATGCTGACCATATACCTAAGTAACATGAACTCTCTTTAAATGCATTCAGAAAAATATATATACCTATCCTTTTTAAAGGATGTCCCCATATCCTCCCCAGCTAGGTGATTCCCTGTAATATAATGGAATATACAGTAGTACCCTAATACATGAAGCTGCACAGCAACAGAAATTGGGATGGGTTCTGGGTTCTTTGTCAATTTTTTAGTTGTCCTGTGCAGAACAATAAAATTAAATGACCAAAATTTGCACGAGAACCAAAACTCAATGGAAAATAATTTAGATTTCCATATGAAACTCCACATTGCTCTCATATGTTATGTTGAAGTTGGCCCTGTAAGAGATGGTAGAAACATCCAGCCTTCACAAAATTCTTACTAAAAAATTGAATTCATTTTTGAAATCTCCATGGCATGACCATCCTGATTTCTCAATAAGGTCCCTACTGATAAGTACAACCAAAACTTTTACTTCAATATGTTCATCATGGTTTTAGTCTCACTTAATAGTTGGCATGTTTTTTGTGTTTAGGGAAGAAGAGCTCAGCCACAATGTCGAGCTAACTGCAGACCTAATCAATCCAGAGGTTGATTTGAAGTTCTTTCCAGCTACTCCTGTTGACAAAGATGTTACAAATAGGGTAAGTACTCTATCTTATATACAGCCACAGAGATGAACCATTAAAGCTTCTTTCCAAAGTATGCAAAATAATTTCATTTGACATATATATACACAAGAGAACATCTTCTGCTCATGTTGTTTTCCAGTCTCATGATTTTTTTTTAATATCTAAGGGGTATCAATCCCATATAAGCCAGAACATTTCAGATTTTTGACACCTTTTATAGTACTGACTGATTCATGTGGCATTGATCTTATGCACTCACTTTGATTTGCTTTGTTCTGGATGCCATGAGAAGATTTGTCAATACATTGCGACCATTAAATCAGATGAAATGAGTTAGTACAAATCAGAGCTGTGAACCACATCACCATTTCATACTAATTGATATAGGTTTAATTATACACAGGATTGTTTGGCCAAAACAAAAAAAATATCCTTTCCCATGCTTGTTGAAACAGCATGTAACTTTACTAATGCTTGATATATTTTTTCTTCCCCTCTTAGGGTGTTTGTCCAGAACAAAATGCAAACGTCTTTTCAAAATTGACATTTTGGTGGCTCAATGGGTGAGTCTAAAGTGTGAAAATGATTTTTTGATAGTTTGAATAATTATGTGCTGTCCACAGTCATTAAAGGGCAGAATTATTGAACATTGGAACATTCTTGTAAAGGTTAAGGGTGGTTCCTTAACTTCACTTGTGAGATGGAGTAATTATTTTTTCCTCCTTATGCCGTTAGTGAGGGGCCTCTGCCAAAGTTCAGCACAGCTTGCTAACATATTAATTTTTATAACAACTTTCTCAACCCATGCGACAAACTTTGCCAAGAAAGGAGCGACTGCTTGTCATTTTACTCTCAATATCTCTCAATGGTGGTCTGAGAGATGACACAGAGACACTGCCAAGTAAAAACATCAGAAGTGGGTAGAAGAGCCAGAGAATAAAACAACTAATAAATGTTCTCAAGAAAACTGTTACAACTCAATGTAATATTTTGCATGAAAAATGGAGGTCTCTTGTTGATAAATATGTGGTGTTATTCAGTGATGTATTTTGATGCCTGTGAGTTCACTCCATGTGATTTTCTTCCAGGTTGATCTATACAGGGTTTAAGAGGCCTCTGGTTGATGAGGATTTGTGGGCATTGGGAAAAGATAACAAGTCTGTAAACATTGTGCCTAAGTTTATGGAGAAGTGGGCCAAGGAAGAAAAACGATGTGCAATGTATGTTAACTATATATAGTACATGTAGCTGAATCCTTGCTGGATGAAATTAACAGTGATTTCATGAGTGACTGGGATGGATAATTATGAGATGACAAAAAGCCAACAAGGCTGTTAATGCCAAGTCAGAACCAATCTAGTATCCAACAAGTGCGAGTGGAGCAATTTGTTTTATGGATTAAGTTTCATTAAATCCCAAATGTTTCAGTGCCCTCAGAACAATCCTGCCAAAAGACCAAAGGACTTTTATTTATCTATTCTGTTTTCAGTTTTGATTTTGGTGACTATTTTACAATCATACCTTTAAGTCTTTTAACAACCTATGTGGACCATTATATTTAAGCATATCTAAAATGCCTTTTGTGGCATAATTATAGTAACAATCAATATACACAACTTTTCAGTGGGAAGAGATGTCCATTAGAAGATCAGCAAGAGCAAGAGCAAGAGAGGGATAAATTGACAGAAGAAAATGATGAAACTAAAGTTGAATTTGTTCCGAAGAATGATGAGAAGCAGTCAAAGGATAAGAAAACGGACAAAAAGAGACCTTCATTAGTCAGAGCCATGGTTTATCAGTTTGGACCTCAGTTTTTTATCGGAATGATTCTCAAACTTATCTACGATGTTATTCAGTTTGTCCAACCGCAGCTTGTAAAGTGAGTAATTAATCCAGCAGTGTGATGTATAAAGTAACAGGGACTGCAAAGACCATTAATTTTTTAAAGTGGTAGGGCTAAAAAAATCTGGCCAATATAAACAAATGCCGAGGAAGTGTTTGTCACTTATCTTGCACAGCTTTACCAAGCCTTGAACTTGAGGCAAATGTGTGAGAATTAAGACACGTTTTATTACTTTCAAGTCGTAAAATCCATGTTCTGTCCATCTCAACTGGAGCCCTAAAAAATAAATCCCAACAATAAAAGTGGCAGGGGCTATAGCCCTGCCAGCCCCTTTCCCCTCCATGGTCCCTGAGTAATTAATTTTATGTTTGTATCTAGGATAATTTGGTTTTACCAACTTAGTTGAAATTTAGCTTGGCCACCATAGGGAGTTTCTAAGGCTGACCTCTCCAGCATTAGCCCTTTGTTAGAGCAAAATTAATGACACAGGGCTAATACTCCAAACACCAGCCTAAGAGGCTCTTTACGGTGGCCAATAAAAGTTTCAACTGAGTTG